ATAAATGAGCTATAATTTTTTAATATGTTGCGATAGCCTAAAGTGAAACAGTTTATTATACATGTAATTGATCTGATCCTTTATAAGGTGATGGATTGGAACTCTCCAGCAGTAGTCTATTGAGTTGAGAGGAGTAAGTTTACCGGGGGATTGAGTAGGCAGTGCGCTTGACAACTAACAAACAATTAAAAAACAAGTGGAGGGGGGATACCCCCCCCCCCCCCACCCACACACTCATTTTAATTTTGGGAGGGAGGTGTGGTCAATGCTTGCTGTGGGTGCTTTTTTCCCGTAGATATTGAAAGATGAACAAAGATCGCAGGGAAGATCTTTCGCCGGTCTTCTTCCGTTTGATTACTGTGAAGGACATAACTTTGCAAAGTGCTAGTACCGTATTAGTATACGTTCGGAAATTACAGAAAACTTAGCAGCAACTGTAACATTGACTGTAGCAGTAACAGTCAAATCGACACCATTCTGATAGAAAAGGTAACGCTAGCCCAGGGTCAACTGGAGCCTCTAGCTTTAGGGAATATTTCGTCCCAAAACAACCCCACACAATACTGACAAAACGCCCGCCTTGATGCCACCACTAGGTAACACCAATATCCAACGAAATAACAAACTTACTGTTGTTTCTATTAACAATGACTCACTGTTATATCTTACCAGTGTTCATCAGATGGCATCAACGTCCATGCTCCTTATCAACATCATCAACATTATTAGTTAATAGGGCATCAACAGGGGGCTCTCGTGGCCTAGAGGCGAAGGTGTTCACCTCTCATTTAAAGGTCCCGAGTTCGAAACCGGGTAGCAACGGAAACAAATTTCTCCTCTAAAATTGTCTCCTTTCACCTCCTTTCCTGCTCTCTAGCAATGTTCTGTCGTCTGCTTTCGTCTTCACTTTCTGCACCCACCCCCTCAGCACATTTGTCCCCTCCTCTGGACTCCTGACTCTCTCTGCCGCCTTCATACCGCTACTCCTTGGCTCCTTCTAGCTGCTGTATATCAGCCAACACCCCTGATCTTCTGGTAGGAAATATCTACACCTAGCCTTCTCGGACAACGGCGAAAAATCTCGGATGTCGCGTGTGGAAGTTGCGCACGTCAAAAATCCCTTGGTGACTGGTGGTCTAAAAATCGATAAGAGTAGGCTTCGGCGCCACTCGGGCAAAATTCAAAATTTCCCCACCAACTGAAAATGTTTAATTTTAATGTGTCCCACGCGCTCATATGACCTTATGCAGTTGTGAGCGCCGTAAAACACTTACCAAAAAGAAAAAAAAAGGCATCAACTGTATTTCAAGCGCAAAAAAGGTCGTGTAAGGGCGATAACATAGAGAACGCCGAAACTTAAGAGGCTGAAGATTGACACTTACAGGCGCCAGTAGGTGTCTGCTTGACTCCACATAGAGGCCGCATAAAGCTTAGATCTAGATATAAGAAAACAATTACACCACACCATTGCTGGTATTTATGAAGAATTTATTTGGGGATTAAAAAAATCCTCGAAATTCCTAAAATGTTGCTTACCCTCGGGGCAGTGCCACTGACTGAAGTGTCTTTAGGCCATTCCCAAAGGGGGGACATTTCTCGTTCAAGCACAGTAGAATTGTAAATTGGTTGATTCATGTCACGCTCATAACTGTGCCTGATCTACAACAGGGAACTGCTGCTTTTTCTTTCCTGATCTTTACTATTGTCATTTTCCTCTACTTCTTTTGCATGTTTGTCGCTCCCTTGTGCCCTGCTATTTTGGGGTGCCTTGATAGTCGAAGCAGACCTTGTGCTGTTGAAGCTAGAGAGGTGAGCAGTCTAAGTCTGATTCCCTTTAAAGACCTCTCTGTTGACACCCACCCCTTGGCGCTCATATGACCGTATGCAGTTGCGAGCGCCTTAAAACCCTCTACTGTAAAAAAAAAAAAAATTGTTTAAAATGTAATTCTGCTCTCTTGCCACTATAATTTGACGACGCTGATTTTAAAAAATGTAATTAGTTTTTGTCTACCGTGAAGCACCGGCTCTGAAATGGCAATTTAAAATTGTCCCCTGTCCAGTCGGATGACGTCACGCAAACCGCTCAACCCGAGTTGGCAACGGCGAGACGGCATTGAGAGTTCGTGACCTCAGTGCTTTCTTGTCGCACCTCCATTTTTAATAACAGTGAAAGCAGTTCACAACAAAGAGTGAGCTTAAGAAAAAGTCACATTTTCACTGTATAAAATGGAGATACGACAAGAAAGCACCGCGGTTGCAAATTGACAGCGAGACGCCATTCCCAGTTTTTCGGCGTAATAAGAATGTAGTTTGGATTCCGATAAAGCCGACAACGCCGATCCAAGCTTAAAGCCGCCTGCAGTCTGCCAGTTTTATGTGGGGCAAGTTGGAAATCATATGGGGATTTTTATACCTATCGCCGCTTACTGGGCCAGTCTCCTAAATCGGCGTTCTCTATGTTTTCGCCCTAACACTTTCTGTGAAAGTTACCGACTTCCTCTCTTTGTTCCATGGTGGAACATATTAATAATATAGAACACGAAAGAGTCATAAAGTGGTTCAGTCATCTGATGAGAACGTCCCCAATTCAATCAGCTGCGCGAGCATACAACCCAAAAGAGTCAGGATACAAGGACAGGGTAGCCACCCAACGTTTGCTGGATGGCGTTAATTAAAGAGGTCCTCCAAAAGAATTACGCATCAACAACGAAAGCCACCCACCTAGTCTTTGACAGAATATTGCGCTTCCTCTTGACACCTGACAAGACAAAAAGAAGGACAAAGTAAAGTGGCACGACGGACGCAATATACAATATTTGTATTATACATTTCGTCTCTCTCTAGCGACCATCCGTGAGAGTGGACGGATTAGCCTCTCCAGAGGCCCTAGGGGATGTGCAATTTGCCCTTGCAATAAATAGACGTGGTGATGTGCTCTCTGACCCCTTTCTTTTCCTTTGCCTCTGTGAATTCCAGACCACCGTCTTGTCACACCAGATCCGTGATTCATCGCCTCCAGAGGATTATAATAATAAGAGTATCACAAGGGCGTATCAAGTGCTTTGCGAGGCTGGGGCGCAAGACAGTGGACTCCCCTCCCCACCTTCCCTGTTTCGTTTTTCCCCACTTCAACGCTACTTATAATAAAACTTATGAAAACGAGGAGATGATCTCTCGAAAATAGTAAAAAGGAAACAGAAAAGGAACTTCTAGTGTTGACATGAACAACACCCCCCCCCCCCCCCTTTCATTGTACACACACACACACACACACACACACACACACACACACACACACACACACACACACATTCATAAATACACACACACACACACACACACACACTCTCTCTCACACACACACACACACACACACACACACACACACACACATTCTCTCTCTCTCTCTCTCTCTCTCTCTCTCTCACACACACACACACACACACACACACACACACACACACACACACACACACACTCTCTCTCTCTCTCTCTCTCTCTCTCTCTCTCTCTCTCTCTCTCTCTCTCTCTCTTTCTGTCTCACACACAGACACTCACATACTGCTCGTCCTCATAACAATACCAGCGGCAGAGAGACACAAGTTAATAGGCCTATGTTATAAACGTTGTTATGTAAGGGGTCATCGATTTATTCATACAATTATAACCGGAAATGGACATTAGTTTTCCAGCTGATATACCTAGAAGATTCTCTTTATTTTCTTCTAAAGGGAGGTAATTGAAACACATCTTTTAGCTTTAAAAATAGCTTTGAGTGAGACACAATAATTTTCCAATAATTTAAGTGATCCGTAGCTCAGTTCAAAAGCAGGATTCCTCCGCATGATTAAACCAATTTAGAAAAAAAAAAGAGAAAAAAAAAGAGAAAGATGTAGAGTGAGGAAATTTGAATAGATTAATTCAACTTTATCATTAATGCAAACCTCACAAAATCAAAGGACAAATTTAAATACCATTGATTGTAAAAAAAAAAAGTTCCATCTCTTGTAATTTATCAGGAAACAATTGAAAAAACAAAATTGAACAAATACATGGACCTTAGTCTCAAAACTGACTGGACCAAATCACGTTTACAATATTGTTAGAAAAAAGGTAAACCAGAGGCAGTACTCATGGGGGAAACTTCTGAGTCCTTCAATCTGAATAAATTGATCCTATAATATTTTATGCCTCTTAAATTAAATGTTTTACAAATTTGGTGACAGTATAACAAGCTGAGGCAGCAATTTGGGAAAACAGAACATCTTAAAAACAAACACGGTGAACAGAATTAGACAGAGATCAAGAACTTTTATTGGAGACCCTTATTAAATTTGAATTTATGTTCAGTACAAGTGCTCCCAAAAGGTGGAAATAATGCTAAGTGACCTTGCCGTAGGTAACTATTGAGATCGAAATTTAATTAAGGACAGTCCGCAGTAAACATCTTATTTCCCAGAGACAAAAAGCAGACAAATAATTATTTTATAGAAATTACATGTGTATTTCGTACCTACTGCAGTGAGGTAAATGCATGAACACTAAATGCTACAAATGAAACAGTAAGAGCGAGCGAGAGAAAGAAGAATAGAGAGATAAAGAAATTGATATATATATATATATATATATATATATATATATATATATATATATATATATATATATATAGAGAGAGAGAGAGAGAGAGAGAGAGCATTGACATTTCCGTATTCCGTATAAATAAAGTATATAATGATCAAGCTGTTGACGTAAAAATAGCTTTTGTATACGTTCCCATGATGCTTTAGGTAATAATGGTATTGCCAAATTGGCAGTAAACGCAAGTCTTTTTACAAATCATTGAGACTTAAATAGGTAGCTTATTTGAAAAGAAACAACTCTAAATTCATATTCTATTTAAATAAGAGATAGCCCTAATACATTTATTTTGTTTTAAAATGTTCACTGGGTGAAAATTATGCTTTTATTGAATAAACTTTTTGTACCGTTTGTTCTTACCTGCCAAATTAAGATTTCCCTCTGTTGGTTGGATGATGATAACTTCACTCTTCAGTGTTGTGAGAGAATCCAAGAATGGCCATAGATTGTAGTATGGAGAATAGGCTGCCGTGTGACTCAAAGAGGAATATAACGTGCTTAGAGTCGGCGGAGACTTTTCTTTTGTGGAATATTGTGCTATCTGTGAATAGGTATGTTTAATTGAACAAACGTTATATTTTAATCTTGATCTAGGTCTAGATTTAGCTGTTTGTTTGTATTAATTCTCGAATCTGTTGAATTTCACCGTAAACTTTACGACTTCTGACTCACTTCATTTCGTTTTATTACTTGATACACAAAAGAATTGCTCAAAAACATTACCTTTTTCATTCATACACAATGAATGGAATAAAGGTCTAATGCCGCCTGAGACTAAGTCTGTTGTCTTTACCATATGAACTTTGCATGGTACGGTCCATCATTCATGTAGAAGATCTATAGTTAAGGTAGATCTAGAGACTGGACTTGTTTGTTGTTGGTAGTGTATTAGTAGCCTAGTTGAGGCAGGTTTCATTCATTTGGAGTCTAGTGTCTAGATCTAGATCTAGAATCGACTACTAGATTCTACTTTTAGCCTTATCCCTAGCCTACCCTACTAGGCTGGGGCTAGATCTCAAGTGCTAGGCTATTGTAAGATCTCCAGTGTGCGTTTGTGTACAAAATAGTACTTAGGATCTAGATCTATATCAGATCTAGTCTCGAATCTACAAGTAATACATTTCATTATAAGTGAGAGTGAAGGCTGAGGCTGAAGACACTGTTCAAGTTTTAAAAGTGAAAGTGAAAGTGAAGTAGTCTAGTCTAGATCTAGATCTAGGTCTAGATTCTAGATCTAGATTCTAGATCTAGTAGATCTTAGTCTTAATTATCGACGCCATCGTATAGTCTATAGTGGATCTACTCTAGACTCTTGGCTAGGAGATCTAGAGACTATCAAGTCTCGTGCTTCGGCTTTGGCTTTTAGTTCTAGATCTAGATATATAGATAGCCTAATCTATAATACTAATATCTAGATCTTGATTAGTCTTGATAATAAATTAATCAAGGCTACTTACGGGTCAACTATAGAGGTAGGAATTTGTCAATGAATTTAGTTTAGGCGGAGGAGAAAAGAGTTCTGTAGAGGGTTGGCCGACCAATAACGCCTAACCGTAACTTAGTACAGTAGACTACTGATTAGTCTCCGCCTAAGATCCCACCGCTTGCGATTCCGGTTCGCTTAAGATCCCGCTGTTTTAAGAAACAGAATTTTTACTATGCAAAAGTCACCCCTAAGATCCTGCTCTGATTCACTCTGAAGGTCTACATTCGGCTAAGACTAAGATCCCGCATTATTTCAGATCATAATTTGCGGAACAAAAACGCGGGCGGGACAGCCGGTCAACCAAGAGTGAAAAGTTGAGATCAATATACTGTCTGTCGTGTCAAAGATCAGCCACTATCGTGAATGTGATCACATACACGTTGTAAAACTCGATGAAGCGCTACACACCGGGGTGTGAACTGACCGACACGTTTGTTTTCCCCACGCATCGCAATAACACCTGAGCTCTCCCCATAAACTTACATCACTCGCTGGGTGGGGAGGGCTTACACGCTCGCTCCAGGCGGGATCACATTGAACTGTGAACTCTTCCTTGACCATTGCAGAAGTTGTCTCTACTCCCGAATTTTATTATTCATAAACGGAGCGTTCATAAATTTGTGTCATCATTTTTATGAACGAACTTTTTGCTATTTCCGTCATTCAAGTCAGAATTACACCAAGACCATTGCATACAGCTTTGGCAGTTACTGAGCCTGAAAGAGCAATCATTAGGCTATATATATATATGGGTGATTTAAGAATTATTACATAAAGTTTATTTTGGACCTCATTTGTCACTCCCAGGTATCCCACCTTTTGGCAAATGCTCGCATATGATTGAGTAGGTTCTCTGGAAGATTCAGCTTGAACATTTTATATATATAAAAAACAGGTTCTTAATTTAAGGCCAGTACTACACAATGTCGTTCGACTATGTTCCTGCCCTCTCTCTGAGTGAGTGACAAAATTTCAGTCATGATGCTTTTTAACTTTTATAAAACAAAAAAATGGGTTTTCATCGTGCAGCAGAATGCAATGCAGCAAATTGCAATCATTGTTACTGTGCTGCACATATTCGCTTCATAAAAACCATCCGCTCTCATGAATACTATCACATCACTGTTGCAGCTGTGCTGTAAATCTCAATGAATGAGTCATGTGTACAATGTTTACTCCAGACTGGATTACTCTGTCATTTTGTGAACTTGTGACTTGTTTGCATTTACAATGCGCTCACATTTAAACCCTTGGGAGGAATTCTGTAACGAGCGAGCATCATAATGAAATAGAGTAGAAAAGAGGGTTAAAGGGTTTTGGGTAGGGGCATGTGGGCAAGGTAGGGATTGGGTCAGGGTTAAGTCTCTTTCTTTGTGTTTGTTGGGGTGGTCGCTTGTTGGAAGTCCTTCCCTCCTTCCGAACCCTTAATCTGAACTTTAAAACCTAAATCGCACACTGCAAAGGTAGGGCCTACAAGACCACTTCAGAAGGAATTGCAATATAATGAAGGAAGAGGCTGGCTGTACTACTGTACTTAATGACTGCCGTACAACAACCAAATTCTATACTATATTTAGCGGACGATTATATGTTTTTTTTTTTTAATCGTAAAACTCTACTATTAAAAAAAACATACAATTGTCCACTAAATATAGATAGAATTTGGTTGTTGTAAGGCAGTCCAAGAGCTTGAAATTGAAAGGGGGGTGGGGTATGAGGATTGTCCAGTGACAAAATAATTCTTGTTATGCCTAGGCTAGGTGAAGACAGTACATTCGCCATAGGCAAGAAATGTAAAAACTGCACAATTCTGCGTAAGTTTGGAATTTGGAGTTCGTTTTTTATTATTTCTTTCATGGTGATGTTTTTGCTTTGTGATATTATTGCAATACGCAACTGTACAATGTGCTTAGTGTCAACTCTGTTGCATGTTAGACTTTGTTGTACTCCCCGGGGCGGTGCCATTGACTGAAGTGTCTCTAGGCCATTCTCTTTCTAATGCACAGTAGAATTTTAAATGGGCTGATCCAACAATGTCATGCTCATACTGTGCCTGAACTACAACAGGACAGGAAACTGCTGCTTTTTCTTTCCTAATCCTTACTGTACTGTCATCATTTTTCCTCTACTTCTTTTGTATGTTTGTCACATTCTTGTGACCCGCTATTTCCGGGGTGCCTTGATAGTTGCAGCAGACTTTGTGCTGTTGAAGCTAGAGAGGTGAGCAGAGTAAGTCTGATTCCCTGTACTTCTCTGTTGACATCCACCCCTTGGCGCTCATATGACCATATCACCGTAAAACCTAGACTACTAATATTAAACTTAAACTAAGACTTTGTTGTTCATGGGGCTAGTGGGAGTTGGTAACTAGTTTGTCTTATTTTTGCTTTCAAATGAGAAATATTTGGTCCATGACTGAAATACTTTTTTTTACAAATCATGGTGCTTTTCCGTTGTGTGCATAATTTTCTTGAAAGTTGGTCAGATGCCTTTTTATATATATTTTTAATTGTATATATCATGGTTTCCCCGAGGATATAAAATATTGCAGCCTTTCAGGTGCACCCTAAAGGAATTCACACTTTCTGTGTCTTTGGATTGCCATTTCCAACTGAGTGAAATGATGTGTGTAAATAAGATAAAAACAAGTGGTACCTTTCCCAAAGAGTTTCCAACTTTCTTGTTGGAAGTCAAATGCCTTACCCACTAGTAGCTTCAAGCTTGCTTGCATGTGAATTCATTTGATAAGATATTATTTCGTGCCTATAATTTCAGGTTTTAAATGGTTTATTTGTCTTCACTAGGTACAGGTGCTGAGCTCTGGAGCTAAGTGATTTGAATCACGTTGGTTTGAAAAAGCCACCCCTCATTGATACCACAAAAAAAGAATGGGTACAATCAATCTACTGATGATACTGCCACAAGAATGGTGTGCTGCAACTTTTATTGTTATTTAGTGGAGGAAGTGTGACTGAATTGTTCATTTTTCTGCATGGCATCTTTGTGGCCATCACCATGGCGAGTTCCAAGAAGTCTTTCTGCTCGAGATTGCAATTTGTCACCACAAGAAAAAGCTCAAAGAAGAACCAACCAGATCCATATCACGATGAAGATCAGTCAACCAGCGATGCGTCAAAAAATGAAGATGTTTTGGAAACACCAACCTCTGATCCAGTGGAATCACGTGTTAGTCAGGAGAGCTGTGGGCACCTCCAGGGTGTTGAGGAATCAGTTGATGTGTCTAAAAAGAAAGATGGGGGTGGTTCAAAGGCGGTGAAAGACACTGAGGACGTATCTGAGGTGTTCAGTGAGTCTGAGGAGCCAGTAGTCATGGAGCGGGGAGTGCGAAAGCCAGTCGTGAAATTCACGATATCCGTGGAATCAAACAACGAAGAAGACAATACAGTATTTGATCTCGATGTCACACAACCAGGTCAGGACCAGAAAGGTACGGATGATTCTAAAGGAGGGAATATGTCAAAGGCCAAAACAGCGTCTTCACCAAGTTTAAGGTTGAATCTCACAGAGGGGGTAAATTCGTCACCAGAATGCGGCAACTCTCCAGAAATTCGCTACTCATTGGACAGGGTGCGGCTTAATTCTGGGGAGTCCTCACTGACATCCACACCCACCTCAAGCAGGCGGAGGCGCCAAACTTTCTGCGGTGTTTCCTACATGTCTCGTCGAAATCTCTCCTCCTCTGATCAGTTTGAGGACTCGGAGGATGTGCTTTCCGCATCGTCCTCAGATTTCTCTCCAGGCAGCACGCTCTCCAGCCTGGGGTTGGAGAAGTTTCAGGGCGTCGACGAACTCAGTGATGATGGAAGCAGTGAGGGGAAGCTGCGCGAGAGCACGGATTTCAGCGATGACGCTTGTGGCGAGATGCGTCCCTCTGAGCACACGGTCTTAACGCCGGTCAACAAACAGCTGCGAATCGTCACCTCTGTGGACAGGGCGCTGTTCCCCCACAGGCGTAGCTCCGTTTCTTCCCCCAAGGTGGATCGGGTGCTCAACTTTGGGCGCTCCTCCTCAGAGAATCTCGAACACATTGCTTTTGTGGATTTCCTCAAACGGCTGAAGCTTCAACAATACCTGAAGAATTTCCCGCCAAACATGTCCCTCATGGATTTTAAGTAAGTGCAGCTTGTTTAGTCTTTCATTTCATTTTACTTTCTGCCTATTCTTTACTTTTTATTGGTTTTTGTCAAGTTGATGTTCCACTTCCAGCTTGTGATTGCTCCCGGGGTGGGGTGGGGAAGGACACGTTGTTGCATAGAAAACAAGAAGACTTTTGCTTT